CATTTCAAGATGGCGATCAAATTGCAGGAGTGGATGACACGGAACAAGGTTACTTAGAAGAAGCCTTTGATCAGGACTATGAACCTGAAGATGAAGATGAACGTGATTTCAACCTACATGGACAATTCGATGATATTGATGACTCCAAAAGAGAAGAGCTCTTGGCAGATGCAGACAATGATGTCGATGATATGCCCAAACTCACTGTTAGATTCCAAGGAGATGATGACTATGAATCAGACGACAATTCAGGTGATGAAGGCAATGAAGAAGAAGAACCTATTGTGGCCGATTTGGATCACCATCAAGAAATGTTGTTAGAGGAACCGATGATATTGGGAGCCTTGTTACTGATCTGGAGGACCTACAAGAGCCACCAGAAGAAGAGACTGTATTTGAGCCTGAAACGCCTCAAGTAGCAAAAGTCACTCAATCTGGGCAAACGTATGCGCAAGCTGCAATGTCTGGGCTGAACCTTTCTCAAGTTCCAAAGAAAACAAGAGAATGACCTTCAAGTAGGAGTGGCAGTTCTGCCAATAAGAACAAGAATTGAGTTGCAACAAGACACAAGCATCCAGAGAGAGAATTGAAACCGTTGAAGAACAAGTTAAAATCTGGTATTCATACCAAAGAAGGAAGTTGCAGTACTAAGGGCAGTAAAGCTATCCTTGAAGCACAGCACAATCTATGTTTTCAACAGATTGGGAATGAGATGAAAGCTGATTATGAAAAGCACGACGCTATTCTGATCGCTTGTTGCATGATGCAGATCAAGGCCAAGTTTGATACTGATGAAGGTCTGAACTTCATTCAACAGTATTACATCAATCAAGGACTGAAGAAGGTTGGTGATGATGGAAAGGATGCTGTGGATAAGGAATTGAGACAAATGCTCCTGAGAGATTGTTTCACTCCCAAATTTGTTAAAGACATGACCGCGTCTGAGCAAAAGAAGGCCCAATCAACGATGATGTTACTTGCGGAGAAGCAATTTGAAAAGACAATTAAAGGTCGCCTAGTATACCGAGGCAATGGAATAGAAAAAATTATTTCAGAAACGAAACAACACGCAATCCGGCGGAACCAACCAGTCTGCCTCGCGTAGCGCTAGTACTGAATTTACGTAGAAAACTTTCGAATTTATCACCAAGCCAACCATTCAA